ATTTATTTTAATATAATTATTATTATTTCAAAGATTTTTAAATTTTTTTAAAATAAAAATTTTTGAAGTTTTTTATTTTAAAAATTTTTTATGGTTGGAGATTTTCAAAGATCCTCATTAAAAAAATTTTCTAATATAAATCAGTATCAAGTATGATTTCAAAAATTGAAATGAAACAGAATTATAGGAAATCATATAAGGTTTAGAACACTATTAAAAATGATGGTAGGATAAATCCCACCTATTAAATTTAATATAAACTTGAAAATTGAATATAGAATTAAAAAGAATTGTTAAAATCCTTAGTATCAAATTAATATTATTTTAGTATTCAATTTGAAATTCTAAATAGATATATCATTTAATTTCTATCTTTTTAAAGTTATTTCAAAAATATTTAAAAAACTTATTTTATAAGCTTACTATTTATAGATTATTTCAGCTATTAATACTTATTATTATTTTGATTACTTTTCTAAGATAAGTAATTGTTAGAGTAATTTATTACTGGATTAAAATTAGATTTTTCTAGAAACTTATAAAAAAAGATACTAGATATTATAAGAAAACAATTATTAAATTATTTTATTGAAAGCAAATATCTTATACACCTTACAATTTCCAACAATTATTATAGTACCAACCAAATAATTATCATGTTATAATACCTTTACTAGAAATTATAATTTCAATACTTACTGGATTAGTATATAAAACAGTTTTTTATGAGAAACAATACTTTAATAGATTATAGTATTAGATATTATATTAATTTTGTTCAATTGCTCTTACATAGGGTTGAACTAGTATTTTGTAATTTGATCTGTAAAGATTATATGAAGTACTAATTACTATACTATAGATTTACAAATCAAATTTTAAAATTTTAAAATTTTAAAAATATTTATATTATAAATTTTTAAAATAAATTTCTTATATTTAATTTAAAATAAATATAAAAGAATTTTTTAAAATAAAATATATAGAATTGTTATTTATTTTAGATTAAAAATATACATATATATAATTTTATTATTGTAAAAACATAAATAAATCTTTGAAAATATGTTTTTTGAATTAATAAAAAAATTAATAAAAAAGAAAAGATGTTTTTTTCTTTTTATAAATGTTAAACTTTTCAAATAAACATTATATTTCTTTAATAATTATAAAATTTATTTTTTTGCAATACTTTATTGAATATATACAATATATTTTATTTATTATTATCAATTGATTGTTCAATTATAAGCAAAAATATAAGTCAAAATTATTTTGATTTTTTTTGTTCCCTGTAATTAATGTAATTAATTATATGGTTTAATTTTGATTGTCAACAATAATAACAAAATACAGTATTTTGATAGCTTATATAATAAAATTAATATCATATATAATATATTTTACGGTATAATATAAAATAAATAATGATTTTTTTACATAAAAATTTTTTTTAAACCCAGAAAACTGAATCATAATTTGATTCGAGTTAAACTTGATTAAACCCAAAGATTCAAGTTAATCTTGTCTCCACTGATTTCACTATAATAAACAAGTAATTACAGGATTCGCTAATTAAGAAAAAAAATTTTTTATATGCATATGCACTATTCAATGCATAAGACAAACATGAATCTGTATTTTATTATTTTTTAAGAATTTCACGATGGCTTATTGACAATTTGAAGATCAAGTAAAGGTTTAAATCATAAAAATATATATATATTTATCGTTGAAAATTTCTATAAACAATAAGTGTAAAAAAAAAAAAAAAAAAAAAAAAAAAAATCCAGAATGTATGCAAATATTTTCAAAAAAAAAAAAAAAAAAAGGAATTCTAAATAAAAGATAAAATTACTTCTGGAAACTAAATACAATACCATATATTGGTAATGAAATTCAAATACTAGTTGTAAAAAAAAAAAAAAAACTAATAAACAAATGCAAATGAACGAGCACCTAGACCTTTGGCAAGACAAGTACCTTTTTATAACCCAATAACTAAATTCCCAAATTTCTTGCCTTGTATATATAATACAACACAAATTCTAACGCCGAAACTATTAGTCAACAAATTTTCACAAATGTTTGATTAAATTTATCGTGATGCTGTTACCGTCAATGGGGGAAAATTTTCGACAGAAACAACGGGATGAGAAACCACCGATGAAGTGGATGATGAATGATGATGAGATGTATAGTTGTGATTTGTTGAATGAGATTGTAAAGATTTGTGAGCAAGTCTAAAGTCTTCAATGTTCTGCAATAAAACGTTAAACATATGTTAGATTAAACTTGCTTTAAGATAATCTAATCAAACAGACATGTTGGCCTATCTACCTTATATTTTTCGACATGCTGATTTAGTTTTTCACAAACTTCAACCTTTCTCTTATCTTTGTCTTTTCTATAATATAAATAGGCCCAAAATTTTTCAAGCCCGTAAATGTATCCTTTTTCGTAGTCAGCCAATGTCAATTCCTGAAAATCGTCGAATAGGTCTTGACGATATTTTTTCTCAAGACCATACGAATAGAAACGGAACAAACATTCGAGGCCGTAACGATAATTTGCGTTGGCATCCTCAACCGCAAGTTTCTTGAATTCAGAATACATGCGTTTATTAAAATGTTCACGCAAGAAGTGAGACCAAAATCTAAAGAGAGTATTCATCTCTTGTGATTGACCAATGCCTTGGCGTTTTCGTTCTGGGGTTAATGACGATAGATGTTAGCTATAAGTATTTTCGAAGATAGTCTCATTAAAAAAACACCAACCTTTCAAAGCCTTGGCATGATATTTATAGTATTTATGTTGAATAAAACCATTCTCTCGTAATAGCTCATGACTCGGATGTTGGAAGGAAGGAAATGACCGTGCCAAATCAGCAGACGAAGATAGCTGTTCCGAGAAGCTATTTGATAAGCCATTACTTTGGTTTAAGGGCGAGTGCGATAAACCTGCATGCGACGTACCCTCCGATGGGTGATATGGTTGATCGCTAGAAAGAAGAATAAAAATTATCGACTGAAGGGAGAAGAGACAGGACGGATTTTCTTATAAGCTTACCCAAGCACCCAGCCAACTGCATCTTGAGCAAAATATTGACGAGTATCTGGTGTATTCTTATGGTTTATCTTGGAATTAGAACTATGATGTCCTTGAGGTGCCCCTTTAACATGCCAGAAACGTGTTGATTTTTTCTTTCTGTTTTTAATGACGAATTCTCAATGTAAATAATCAGATATTTTTGAAGTTATGAGAATAATAAATATATCATACCCTTTCCTCTCATTTTCTGACGATGCAGTTTTACTTGATGAATTGACTCCTGAAGAGCCTAATGGTTCATCTCGTGATTTTGTCGAAGATACTAACGATGCGAATTGTTCCTCACTGAAAATATCGTATTATATTAGGTGAATAAAAAGAAAAAAAAACATATATATCAAAATCCTTAAACATAAACCGTGCATTTACCTAACAATGTCAACCTTCCGCGTAATATTGGCACTATCAACACGCCTAAAGTAAAATTTAAACATTTATATTAAATTAATTAAAAGGCAAAGGACGCAAAATGTTTATTTACTTCTTTCTGTGAAGATCGTATTCATAATGGTAAAGTCCTTCGTTAATAATTTCAGCAATTTCATCTAAATATTAAAGAAAATTAATCTCACATAGCATAATAGTGGTGGATGCATTTTTGTTATACATGCGGAAATTAAAAATTTACCATTCATTGCCTTTCTCTCAAAATGAACATGACTTTTATCCTTTTTCCTCTGTGTAACTATTAAAATACTGGCAACGGTATCGTCATCGAATTCATCATCATCGTCATCATCATCGGACGTAGCATAATACTTCTGTATTGTGTTGTTCCTGGAATCTCCGGTCCAGTCTTCATCAAATTGAAATAGTTCATCATCGGCAGTTTGCGTTGAAGTCTGTCTCGAAACATCGCGAGAAGATTTGGTCGTGATAGTAGATGAAGAAAGTGCACGTCGTTTTTTTGTATGCAAAATCCAGGGTGGCGATCCATTTTCGGAAATACCTTCTGGAATAGTTGGCATTTCCTGATTTTCCTTATTCTCATCCTCTGCATGAACATCACACTGTGGACAGCTAACCGCCTCTGTTATCGCTTGACCATCAGCATGTTCCACTCCTTCCTGTTGTTCGACCGTATCGTGCTATAAATCGAATAATAGATAAATTAACTACACATTTGTAATAACCCAAATTGATATATGACTAGTTTCTTACTTGTTTTGGCAACACCCAAAACTGCCATCCTTCTCGTTTTCGGACTCTATCACCATTAACTTCGACATTATAGCTATTAAGAAGAGCCTATGGAAAAATTAAGAGTCCACGGTTATTAAATGAATGCGTGGAAATCACTTTGTAATATCATGATCAGATTCACTACCTCACGAATAAGTTCAAAATCCGTTGTAAGTGCCTTCACTCGATTAAACCCGGCTAACAAAGCAATAGGAACATAACCCTCGGAGTCCATCTATAAATGTAAGGCAAATTAATATACATACATTGCACAATTTTAATCATACAAATAATGAATACCTGATGAAAGCACTTACATTATTTCGCAGATATATATCCTTGCAAAGATTGTCAATACTAAAATAATAATCTCTGAAATATACATAATTTTATTATCAGCACTTGATCACTAAACTGTCAAAAAAAGACAAGGAACATTTAAGACATACATCTGCTGTAAAATATAGTATTTCACAAGGTCGACATCATAGACTAAACCAATCTTTGTACCATACACATTATTATATGGTTGGACATATCCAGAGGTATAAGGAACGGTGACAGAACGAGATGGCCCACGAATGCCATTATAGGGACGACCTAGACATCAAATATTCATTAAAAATCAAGATGTGAATGTGAAATGACGGTAAAATAAAAATTTTAATACCTCTTCCGCCCCTTCGACCACCACGATACCCATTTGCGTGATGCCCAATTTGACCGTCACCGGGTTGTGAATATCGTCGACCATATTCTCTCGTTGGCGGAGGAACACTAGCACGACGTCTATTTGAATTGCCGTTATGTACCGATTGAGAATCGGGTTCTGTATTTAGAACTTTCTCACTTGACCTACGTTCACGCAATCCAACGTGATCTTCGCTACGACGTCGAGCTTTTGCCTTGTCGTGGCTAGGTGATGGTGTATGTTGAGTAACAATCGGATACGGAATCCATTTACCTTTGCCTTAAAAGATGCTGCGGTTAAGTGCTTTTGAACTTCTTGACGAATTCAGAAAAGCAATTAAAAGATATTTACCTCTTTTAGGACTATCATCTTTTTTGACGTTGTTATCATTGGGTGACTTCTTTTCAACGAGGTCAATTTGTTCCTTTCCTTTATCTTTGGTCAAAACCTCAGCAGGAGCAGGCCAGCTACTTTGATCTTCCAAAGGCGGTAATATCGATGGTGCTTTTAATTTCTTTAGTTCTTTTTTTGATACTCGCTTGACATCTGTAACGTGGAAGAAAAGAAAAAGGAAGGAAAAAAAAAAAAGTAAATCTTCTAAATCTAATAAAATGGTTGTAACGGTCCATATACAAACGCACAGGGAATAACTCTGGAAAATGGCCTTTATTAACCAAACGAAGGCTAATTTCGGCCTGTATATTTTGTTGAAGTTTTTACTATTAGCAAGTATTTTTGATAACCCCTGTGCGAACGTAACAGTAATATTTTTTTTTCATTCGGTGAATTATTACGTTTATTACGAATGATAATAATAATGAACTTTAAGAAATCCATTAAAATAAAAAATTTTCACAATGGTAATTCGAACAGAAAAGGGCTCATCCAAACTGAACACCGAGAACCAAATTGAAACATACCATCTTTATGTTCTAGTGGATCAATTTCTCGATTTTCGTTTTTCTTGATATCACTTACAACCTCTTTTTCCTTGTCATTAAAGCCGGTGACTTCTGTCACCTTTTTTGCATTCATGGCCTCCTTTCTTACTTGCCAAACATTAACTGCTGGTATAGGTGCAGGAGGAGGTATTATTTTTTTGGTGGGCTCATTTTCTTGGGAAACTTTTTCATTTTCCTCGTTATTACTCGTTGACTCTTTCAGTGGCTCTGGAGCGGGTGATCGAATTGTGTTCGACCCGTCGAGTTCTGTTTCAGTAGTCTTTAATTTCGCACTAGAAGGCTTGATCAGATTCACATTGCTAACACTTGAACCAGCGAGATTGCTATCCGGCTGCGCAGTGGTTGGACTGACCATGGTATTTGAGCTTCAAAAAACACACCAAGAGCTGCAGGAGTTATGTTTGGATCAAGAAGAGCAGGCACCAGAAAGAAGAGGGACGAAAGCCTCAGTAGTAAACGCTTTTTGGGTGAACTACTCGGCAGCTCTTACGAACAAATATTAAAGAAAGAACAAAGCTGTTCGTTCCGCGTAAACAATATTTGTGTTGCCGAAAAAAATTTTCTGCAAGGTCGTGAGCGAGAAAGCAAAACCCCTCTCCAGTGCAACCGTATGCAAGAAAAAAAGTTGTTTGCCTCAGCCAACTACACCCGTTTATACTAACTGCTTACGCAAAAAAATCGTTTTTTTTTTTGGATGCACCCCTTTAGGTATATAATCGATATGATACTATGTAAAATCAGATAGAATACGTGGTACGTGGCAAAAAAAAAAAAGTCTGAGATATATTGCTATATCTATTTTTAATGTAACTCCATCTCATTTTGCTGTGCAGCATCAGCTATGATCTGTGAAGTAAAAATTACGTGAATGATCTTTTTGTAAATATTTAATATACTGAAACTATTGCTTAAAATAAGCATCACATTAGAAAAAAATAAGTTGCTCCGGTATAACCCGGTTCCGTCACAAACAAGGCAGAAAAAAAATTCTTGCCATTCCGAAGCGTGGACAATGCTTGATCGTCGTGAAATCCATTCAACTATTGTTGTAATGCCAGTATCACTACTGTCCTAACTTAAAACTTGTTCATTGTGGGTAACGAGGTTGACGACATAATTGTGACTTCCAGAGATCATTGTACTAAGTCCTAGCATCTTAAATATGATTTACCAAAGAATCCTTTTTTGATTCGGTCACCTTTGAATTTAAGGCGTCGATTAAAAGCCATAATATTTATATTGTACTACTGTGGCATTAAGTATTACTGCATGCTATCGTATATTTCATCACGTGCATTCATCTAGATGGGCGAAAAAAAAATTTTTTTTTCTCCACATGTCTTAAATGTGATATTTACTTTAAACTCCGTGGAACAACTGTCAAAAAAATGCCTTCTTATTATTAAGCATTTATTAAAAAATTTTTTTTTTTTGACATAATTAGAATATATCGTCCTATTTAAATGATTAAATAGAATAAGTAAAAATGGATTTTTTCTTTTTAAGAAAATTTAACAATATAATGAATATAATATACAGTGGTGAGTAAAATTTTTTGGAAAAATTATTTTTTGTTATAAATAAACAATTTCTTATTTAAATAATTTTCAATTTTAAATATATGTTTTTTAATAGTTAAAAAATAATTTATTCTAATTTTTATAATCAACTAATATAAATTTTATTGTAAAATTGATTTTTAAATCAAAAAATTTCAAGTTTAAAATTTTTTTATAAATTTATATATAAATTTTGATTGAAAATATTTTATTTTTATTATAATAAAATTTTTTAAAAAATTAATTAAAAATTTAAAAAAGTTATTTGATATATATAATTTTTAGCAAATAATTTTTATAATATAAAAATTTTATTATTAAAATTTTATATTTTTTTATTTTATAAAATTAATTTACAAATTTTTTCAATAAATTATTTAATAGTTATATATTGATTTTATAAAAAATTGTAAAATTAATTTATTTATCTTAATTAAATAATTTTATAACAAAATAATTTTTTAATTTTTTATTATTAATTTTTTATAAAATTTTTTCAAATAATATTTTAATAATATATTGTATAAATAGTTATTAAGTAAACTTGTTTTTTATAGTCTCAAATATATATAAACAATTTTTTATTTAATTTCTTTAAATAATTTTTGAAATATAATTAATTAAGTAAAAATTATTTTTTCCAAAAAATTTTGCTCACTACTATATACATATATATTTAAAAATCTAAAGATTAATATTTTTTATTATTATATTATAATATTATTATTAAAATTAAATTTAAAAATAAAAAAATTTTAATAAATTTTATTAACTATTTATTATTAATTAAAAATAAATAATTTATTATTTTGTTAAAAAAATTTATTAATAATAATATATATATATAATTTTTTATTTTTACATGTATTAAATATATGAATTTATTATATTTTTATGTAATTTTTAAAATTGATATTTTTTTTAATAATAAAATTATATTTTAAAAAATTGTTAAAAAATTTTTTTTATAAATAAATATTATTGTTATTTATTTATTTATTTTATTTTATTATTTCAAATTAGATTATATATCATTTATATTTATTAATTCTATATAAAAAACAATTATATATAATAATTACAATTTTTATTCAAATTTAAATAATCTATAATTTGAATATAAATTTAATCAAATTGAGTTTTTAAATTTTTAAATTAATCAAATTTGAATTGAATTGAATTGAATTTTAAATTTTAAATCTAATTAAATATAGCTTAATATATATAAATTATTAAATAACTATTTATTTTATTTAAATAAAACTAACTAGAAAATTAAAATAAAAAACTTGATTTTTTTTTTTTTTTTTTTTTTATCGCAAACAGGCATTAAATGCGAGACATTTATTAAACATCAGTTTATCATTATTACATTAACAATTTTTAGTTACAGAGTAATTAAATTAATTGTAGTCTATTGCAACTAATCAATCAGCACGCATTGAGACCAAGTAGGTCTTTACATATTGAAGGTGTTGAATGGCTGATGCCTATTCAAAACGATGAAACTATGGCTGGAGTAAATATTTTTTTGTTGGTAAGATTATTAGAATTTTCTAAAGTAGTTAATATTTTTTGAAAAGTACTCAGAGTTCGTGAGTTAGTAGTAGTGA